GTATGAGAGAGTATATAACATTATTATTGTGTGTGTGTGTGTGTGTGTGTGTGTGTTCTCTCCTTCTTATTATGCTCTCCTTCTATGGACCTCTGGGAAGCCGCTGCACATAAAACCCTAGTTCATTATTCCTCAATTAATTTAGCGGCATGTTTAAAAGCTCTGCGTGTGTGTACCGATGTCATTATGCCGATGTAATCCCACGACTTCGCCTTCAGTGTTCTGATGGCGGTGATTGTGGGTGGTCGATATTGTTTAAAGCTTTTCTTTTTTTGTGCCAACGGTTCTGTGGGATGCACATTTTATGCTAGACATAGAGTGACGTCCCAAACTATTTTTTTAAAATTGGCTTTGTTCTGTTGAAAGTAAATATAATTTCAATTTGAGAAATTTAAACAAGCAATTAGGACAATACATTGCATTACAATGCAATACACATTGCAATACACGCTAAACTTGCAGTGATTTTAAACTAGTGCAGTGGTCACCAAACTTGTTCCTGGAGGGCCGGTGCCCAACAGATTTTAGCTCTAACTCTAATCAAACACATCTGAACAAACTAATCAAGGTCTTACTAGGTATACTTGAAACCCTGCAAGAACACCGGCCCTCCAGGACCAAGATTGGTGAACTAGAGGAAACAGCTGCCATGTATTAACACTGTAGTGCAATTACGTTGTACTACAAACTTGTCGCAGTGCATTTTGAATGCTAGTCTGGACCAAATATGGAATAAATTATTATTATTATTATTAGTAGTAGTAGTAGTAGTATTATTAATAATAATAATAATAATAATAATAATAATAATAATAATAATAATAATAATAATAATAATAATAATAATAATAATAATAATAAATAAATAAATAAATAAATATTTTTTCTTGTTGTTTTATTCTCTTCTTGAAAAAAAATCTAGATTATTTCTAGTTTTTAATTAAATAATATGATCAATTTTTGATTGATTGAGAAACTGACAGACGACTTTATTATTATTTTTTTTAAATAACTGATCGATTAATTGATTGATTAAAAAGTTGGTTATTCCTGGTCACTCAACTGTTGCATCTCCACATTACTAATTTTCTGCTATTTTCTGTCCCATTTAAAAAAGTATTCAAAAAAGCAGATTTGATTACCTAAGTCATGGTATCTGACTTAGATACAATCCTACAATGTTCATGATATAATCAACACTTTGAAAACCTTACAAGGTATGGTTATATAATAAATAAATAATAGTCCTAAAAAATCTAGTTTATTTCTAGTTTTTAAAAAATATGGTCAATATTATTAGTTCATTTAAGAATTTGTATTTATTTATTTATTTATTTATTTATTTATTTATTTATTTATTTATTTATTTATTTATTTATTTATTTATTTATTTATTTATTTATTTATTTAATATTTAAAACAGAACAAACACACTGTTGTCCAATGATTTGTCTTATTGACCTAACTTGCCAAGTTATTCAAATTAAACTTAGTTAAACATTTAAATTGAACATTAGTATCTTGCTAAATAAATACTTATCAAAACTATTATATTTAAAAATGTAAAACATCATTTGGGAAATATTTTTAATCATTAAAATTTCATAAAAAATGTAATACCATTGCCCTGCCACAGTGCATTGGATGCATCATTTAGTGTTTATATAAGCAAACATGGACAGTATAGAATTCAAATATGACCACATTCCAATTATCCAAGGCAGTATAGGGCAAAAATCACCACTTACGGCCACAGTTGCATTCTGGGTAAGACAGATATACAGAGAAAAGCTCACGGGGGTCACTGTCATTAGAAAACCACGTCAGTGATGATTCAGTCATAAATAGATGGACTGATAATAGTTTGTCCCACTCAGATGGTTTCCAGGGGGAAGGACAGCAATTAGATATATTCCATAGGGAGCAGAGATGCAGGTCAGGCTTGTTATGAAGATGCTGAAAAGACTGCTGGATGCTGTTTGCTACTGTTGACTGCCTGACACGCATAATTTAGTGCTGAAAAATTCAATATATTATATATATATATATATATATATATATATATATATATATATATATATATATATATATATATATATATATATATATATATATATATATATATACATATATATATATTGATATAAAAATTGCTATAAACAGGACAAGCATATTTCTTTGTGATTCCTTGGTGCCATACTTATTTTTAGAATATTCATTCATTCATTCATTCATTCATTCATTCATTTTTTTTTCTTTGTCTTAGTCTCTTATTTATCAGAGGTCACCACAGCAGAATAAACCACCAACTATTCCGATATACGTATTTGACATCTGATGTCTTTCCAGCCCCATCCCAGTACTTGAAAACACAAAAACACACTCATTCACACATGCACTCATCATTCATTCATTTTATTTTCAGCTCAGTCCCTTTATTAATAACAATAATATGTATGAAATTTTTTTTCACCGTGCTGCCTGTTTTTGTAAATGTTTA